ACTCGGAAATAACACAGGGCGACAGTCAAAGCAGGGTTTTATTATGTGTAAAATGGACGTTCAGGGGCTGGGAGGGAGAGAGATGTATTAACTACATGACCTCATGATTGGTGATAATCCTTTGCGGGGTGTGAATATTCGACTAAAGTGTTAGGACACACGGCCAAGTGAGGGAAAGAAAATTAAGGAACTGTTTGTGTGCACATAATGGAGGTTTGCTTATTGTAATTGCTATCGCCTTTGCTGTAGGTTTATGTATCGGAACAAGATGATTGTGAAAACGCTTCGAAATTAACGGAGTTTAGGAAACACATTTGTAGAAGGAGCAGGATTGCTCAATCTGAGCGAAACCATCAACGCTCTACCTTATCCTCCTCTTCATTGAGATAAAACAGAAAAGTGTTCAATTCAGATTGTTTGTCAGGTGAACCGGAATCTTTTTGACTTGCATTTTCAGTCGCCATTTACTGAACGAACATTCCCTGAATGCGCAACTGATTAGCGCAATTCTTGTTCGGTTGAATTCCAAAATTATTCAGTGCGCATTATTTCATGTCCTTTCGATATCGTTCCAGTATGCCCTATTGTATCTTTTGGTGAACTTGGCATCTCGAACGCATCCCGTAACAGTCTCTTATGCGTGTTCGAGCTTCACCCGATCGATTTAATCCCTGCACTCACGACTCATCTCTCTTTGAATGTGTTACCTTATTGACTTGCATGTATGCTCAAGCAAGAGTGGTTGCTCTACCCGAGTAACTGGGCGGAGATAGTATCCTGGCATTTCCTCCCCTCCCATGAAACTCTTGTGCATGACCAACAAAACCATTTGCAATTTGCCACCCTCAACCGCACGCTGTTTTCATCATTTCGCCTACCTGTGATGAAAACTGTTGTCTTTTGTGCATGTGATGCAGTATACGGAGATTCTCCCCGTCAGTTTGAGCCAAATAAAATCATATTTGGAGCCGAAGAGCCCAAACAGTAATTCGTTTCTATACCGATAACCAACCAGCTGTGCTGCACACCTTACTTATTCTGAGAAGCAGTAGAATTTCTGAATACCACCACAGTCTCACAGACATACCATTTAGCTTGGACTGTCTAAAAAGGTCACTGGCACAGGAAAGACCTTCGTCTGTGCTTGTGAAGCAACAATGTATCGCTAATGCAGGACAGCGATGGCTGGTTTCGAAGTTTTTGGAACCGTTCGAGCCTATGACTGAGGATTTTAGATCCGCTAGAGGCGTAAACAGATATACCTCTCCGATAATAATCCGATGTTTATCCACTCATTGCTGCATTTCTATTGCAAACATGGTTCGTGTCACTGTTATTTCTGGTCTCGTCTGCTTTGATTTCATCATGGCTCGCATGGCTCATGAGTTTCGAAACGCCATTTGGAAACCTGTACCGCATTCTAACACTGACTACTTATATACTTGTCAGTAGGCAATCCGGCGTAAAATCTACCATTGATACGAATATATAAGTTGGTTGCATGGATCTTGTCTCATTGACTGGAATGCTTCTCGCTCATAAAAGTTTTCGTCAATCATGTGGGAATGTACAATTCAGTCAGCTCGTTAAGGACCACACATGTTTATCCAACGGATTCTCTTACAGTCTTCAACGAGTGAATCCCGTCTGAAAACTGGTTCGAAATTCACGCCATTAAGGTTGATCGGAAACATCGTGTACACTATGTCTAGGAACGGGCCGACACAAGTATATTCACTTACCCACTAGCAAACAGCGGAATTCATTCTACTAGCAGCTCGAGCAGTCAATAACCCACGGCGTTCAGTTAGATAATCCTGCCTACAGGGGAACGCGTCTGTATGAACCCCTTTTTGTCAACCGTCGAGTTGACTGCATCCGTGTATAAGAACATGAACAAGGTTTTAGCACTAAAGGAAGTTGGGATATTAAATGGTTCTGTAGGTGATGCTTTATGATACTCCGGTTGGAACTCACTTGAAAGTTGCGTGGACCAAGGCGATTGTTTTTAGTGTATCCTTTGGTGATTGATTCGAGAGTCATAACATAACATTCCCGNNNGTATCTGTGGAACAGATGCTTATAAATAAATGAGATGGAAATCTGGAAAACCTGTCTATTTCAAATGTGAAAAATACAATTCTGATACACCAGCGTTGATTCCAGTTGGGGAAACAGCTCATCGTTTCCGATCGTTCGGAATATCGTCAAACTTATAAGCCACACAGAAACGACAGAATATGGTACAAACTATGCATTGATGAAGTATTGAGTCTGAAATTATAAATTGTTGCGGATATGGACGTCAGACAGGATAATTGATGTTTCCAGTAGGGTGCTTTCCTCCAAAGGTATTTCATGCTCCTTTTGTGTTTGTTTGCGTGCTCGCGAAATGCTTGAACTTATGACCAAATTTTCACCTAGAAACAAAAACGAATCAGAGTTGTCCTATTGTGATCATGTCACAAAAGTAGTGCCGGGTTACGAAAGATTGGTTATTGCAAAAGAAAAAAGCACTGACACAAGTGGGTGGGGGTTATACGGAACTGAACATATTATCTGCAACCGTTTGTGATCAGTTTGACTAATGGCTCCAAATCACTAATCCAGACGGTTTGATAGTCTCTCTGTAGTTACAAAATTATATCCTCTGATTCGCTCGTAGATGTCGTAAGATTCCACTATCTGCTTCCTCAGATGTGCAACAAACATACTACTTACAAATGTGTATAGTACAGTACCTCACAACAGTACGCTATCAAATAATTCGGCTTGCTCGATACGGATTAGGGTAATTAATGGGCGTGAGAAACCAATGTGGAAAAAGCAAAGAATACTGACGAACCTAGTGGCTATCAGTTCGGTTTTGTTCGTTGCATCCTAGAACAATCCAAACACTGCGCCCCCCCCCCCCCCCACACACACACACATTGGTAAGAATCAATGGCTAGTCTAAAGGCGCATGTCTTGCATGATTCAGTGGAGACACCAATAGCAGCCTGCATACTAATAGATATAACGCGATCGACCAGTTTCAGTTCAGAGGATCTGACAGGTATTCACACATGTTTCCTTCAAGAAGGCATTGTTGCTGTTCTCACCATATTCCTTGTGCCTTGTTTATCTTTATGTGCCTCAGCGTTCCTTTTTGAGCTCGTACACACAAACACTGACGGACGATGAAAGATCGCATGCGTGTGTGTGTGTGTGCTCGCGCTACGGACTAGCTTACCTTTGTTGTATCAAGTAAGAGTATTTGCCCGGAGCTTCAAGAAAAACTCTTATTTTAATTGTGCCTGCTCCGTCAGTATTTCCAGCTTCCCACTGGCAAACTTTATCCTCTCAAACACGATCTGATTCCGCCTATACGTTTCGTCAAGCGATCTAGCCCCCCCCCCCCCTAGTTTTTCAACCATATTGCATGAGTTCAGGGTTTTTTCTTCAACGCTAAACAGTCTTCTCCATCCGTCTTTCTTTTACGTGGCAATTAATCCGTGTTCTTCATCTCACCCCTTTGATTTTAGGTATCCATGCTGATCGCATTTCGATGCGAAGATCGATCTTTCTGTACAGCAGCACACACGTTTCTCTGTCTAATACCGGTAAGTGAATCCCGTATGTCAATAGTACACGTGAGCATTATCTTCACAAATTTGAACATTCTCAATTCTTATTGTCTGACATCATCTCAGTGGTAGTTATGTAAAACGAGTTAGAGGCAGTCCAAAAATTTTAGTGACTTTATACATAACTTTCTACACATGATAACTTTTCGAGTCGCTATTGGTGTCATGTTACCCTACCTATTGCGGTTTGAAAAACAACTTTGGCTGATCGCACATTATATATGACGATAAACCTTTCAATCGTCTTTTTTAATTTATTTATGGAAATTATTTCATTGCATTTTTCAGTCGTCGTTAGTTTCTATGATGTTTTGGTCTGATCATGTCCAACGACTATCCGTTGTCTCTGCAACATCGACCGCGTATGATGGAAACATCGCGTGAATAACGAGTTCAGACAACGTGTGCTAGGATCAGATGATCTTCCGTTGAGCAAAATAATTTCTCAGCATCGTCTTGGTTTATAAGACACGTCCTACGAATGCCTGAGTAACGTCTACCACATCGTGCACTATTCGAAGACATCGGTCCAGGCTGGAAGAAACAGCGAGGTGGGCGGGCTATGACGTGGCGCAGAAGGTTGAGATTGTGCTCGGATCTGGCTTCGGTTGAGGCTCCCCGGCTGAGGCCCCAAAGATTGAGGTTGATTTCGAATGGAGACCTTGCGAGATATGGCATCAAACCGAAGTCAGTGGTGGGAATGCATCCTTTTCTGTGTGCTATCCCAAAAATAGAAAAAAAACTCAAAATGGCGTGCAGTAAACAAACAAATAATTTGTTTTTCCCTCAAGTTGACTGCTTTTGTTTTCCCCACCTCTCTTCCTGCATTTTTCGTTAGCCCATGGTTATTTTGGTGCCCTAACGATTGGTTATATATATATATATATATCAGAAGTATTCACTCTCGTAATTGTTCTTCTTCGCGTGGATAAACTTGATGAGCAGCCGGGTGTGTTTTTGTTCTGTGCAAGATGTCGGGAGAGATGTATGTTCTGTATGTTCATTCCTATCACAACCTCAAAAGCGATACAGAAGTCAGTCATCTTCTTTGATGATTAGCATTTCACGACCAACAGAAGTGAGGTTTGTTTAGCACTGATGAGAATAACGAGTAGACATCGGGTGAAATTCGCCCCTCACAAAGTTCCCTAATGGACATTCGTCGGTCTTTTGCTTAATCATTCGTATTCACTCTGAGAGAGGTCGGTCCAACGCATCAGTGCCAAGGGAAGTAGTTTCCCGTTCTGACAAGCTCCACTAGGTGAACATAAGCGCCGAATGCGCTGGAACTTTCCTGTGACAGTCAATCAGTTACTTTCCTCCTAGACATCCGCTTTGATTGCTGCTCTTTCGGCTACGATTGTTTAAAGACCGTAGCAACATGTGGATGTAAAACAGAGGTCAGATGAACATACTTACAACATGACTCGATGCACAGCTACCAATGTGTTCACCGAATTGTACCCAGTAAGCTTGGTGCCGACGCAGCAGCAAGAATAACAGAACCTGAGACGCATAGCTGAGTGAACGGGGGTCAAACAGTGAGGTTGAATGGCGAGAATAGCAATTTTTGTTGTCTCACTGTACACTTTTGATATTTTGTGTTTCGGTGTGTGGTTTTTTTATCGGGCACGGAATTTTACAGGCAGACCGTACAGCATTCGCACCACTAACTTCTACTCTGGGCCATATCTCTCAGCGTCTCTAACCAACGACAATCCTAACCCTTTAGGCCCCAACCTGAAAGTCGGGTTGTACGAGGGAACGGAGTCCTTGACTTAAATATCCCGATGATATCGCCCTTCCGGGTGACAACACACGGGCAGTCCAATACGCTTTGAACCGCTTGGCGATAGAGGTATCCAGGTGTAATATGTGCTTTTCACCGTCCCAATGCAAAGTGCTTGCAGGAACCTGTGCGTGCACTCACCCTCTGTGATGATCAACTGGAAGTGGTTTGAGAGCTTTAAGTACCTCGGAGCTTGATCGCAACTGGTGGTGGTGGTGGTGGTGGTGTTGAGAAGGAGATCACGTCATGAATAGCGAAAGCCAAAGCAGCATTCAACAACCTGCGACGCCTGTGGCGCTGCCATGACATCCGTTCGTCCATTGAGTTAAGGATGTACATCGCCGTGGTGCTATTGCTGATTTTTTTTACTGACCACTCGTTTTCCTCTCTTTCTCCACAGATATTGTCCTACATTTTGGTCCGAAATTGTTTGGGCATATTGCGCCGCGTACATAGTATTCTGTTCGCCTGGTTAGGCGATATCTCGTTGGAGGTAAGAACTTCAGAGGTTATTTCCACAAAGGGTTTATAAATTAGACGTTGAGAGCTGGGGGTTTTGTATGATTTTTCAGACCCATTTCGTTGTAATGGTGACAATAATAATGATAACAAATTGTTCTTATTATGAATTACGATTATTATTAATATTGTCCCATGAAGACTGAGAGAATCTATGTGTCGCGCTGACGTAAAACAAACAAGCACATTTATCGCTTATTGGATGTGTAAATACAAGTGAACGGACGTGTACAATTAGACAGGGGCTATTCGAATTAAGAACCATGGGTCAACTCCATGGCAAGTGAACTGATTGTGTCAACAACTTTTGGGTGCATAAAACGGGATGGTGTAATCAGATTAGCAACACCCCACCTATTGCCAACAGTTTTGCATTACAATTACGTAACAACGGTCTGAAGGAGGAAGCGGGATCAATTATGGGCTTGGTTGTCATGAGGTGTTTTGCAATTGATGACCCCGGATTACGTGTGACCGCCTGCTTATTAGGTGTGGGTTGAGACGTCGACTTCATCAGCTTGGGATGTGTTTGGTCATCCGTAATAATAATTGACAGTTGGTTCTGCCTATGTATGCCTCACCGCAACTGCAGATGAATTGGTATACAGTATGAGACAGAATGGAATTGTCAACCACGTATACGTTTGTCCAAGTCGATTCTAAGAATAGAGGCAATCTATCGAAGTTGGGCAGCTGGGAATGTGCGGTTCAGAACTGACTTTAACTTTTAGCGCACATCGTTCAAAGTTGATCGCCCTTAAAGGATAGTTTGATGTAAACGGCTTTCTGGGCAATCTTTGGGGATGGGTTCCCTTTTTGAGATTGTTTACCATAGATATCGAGGAGACTTTCGGGGTAACCGTGTCGTACCAACGTTTTCATTTGGATTTCTTCATCTTGTAGTGTGTCTGGAGAACAAATGTTTCTGGTTCGATGGAACAGAGCTTTTACGCGTTCACGTTTGTAAACCATATATGAGCAGCTAGAGAATTGCAGATACTGACTGTCAATTATCACAACTGATGGCCAAACACATTCCAAACCGGTCTTTGAAGTCGACGACGCAATCCACACCTAGTAATCAGGCGGCCACATGTTACCCGGGGTCATCAATTGCAAAACACCTTATAACAACCAAGCCCGTAATTGATTCCGCTTCTTCCGTCAAGTCGTTGTTACGTAATTGCAATACAAAACTGTGGCAATACGTGGTCAAAGTTGAATTATATATGCCGGTATTGTGTGGATAACACAAACGATACTTTATTAATTCCGATAAATATCTCATCGCGTTCCTCTTCCAAAACGGTGCTTTATAAAAGCGTTGAATAAGGTACACCGGATTCGAAGTAGTACTTGGATTTTAGGCTTTTGATTACTGTTCCAGATTCTGCGTGTATCTTCTTCTCCGTCCTTTGGACCACAAACTCAGTGGGAGAATGGTGGAAAAAGCGGCACAATCTTCAATGCTTTTACTGTTTGGTAATCGCCACATCCGGGAAAGGGAAAAGTTCGAGCAGAAACATACTACAGTGAAGGGAATGACGTGAAAAGGATGTGTTCGGGGCACAGACCGGAGGGTAAGGTAATGACACTGTTTTGTGACAAAAACAAGCTATTGAGGAGGAATGAGACCAGATACAACCTATATAGACTTCTAGTAAAGAGAGACTCTCTGCGATCTCTCATCGTAGATTGCTTTTGAAGACTTAGACCGACGCTTTCTTCGGTTTTCCCGTCAATGCTTCAAACTGAGATGCATGACTAAGCGGCATCCTAAACCTGAAGAGGTTGCACAAAAGAAAGAGGTCTCCTGCTATCCCGAATATGTAAATTTGACCTCGATTGCCAACGGTGATTAGAGGGTTTTGTAAACCTCCCACTCTAGTTTCGTGTTTTATCCCGGCACACGCTCTATAGGATCACAGTTCTAATTTAGATCAAATTGTTTTGTTTGGTTGCCATGTATTTGGATAAACATAGACAATTTCGATAGACGGTACAAAAATCCCTATGCATTCGCCGAAACGATCGCTTTACCAAATTTAATACACTGTGAAAACGG